GGAGACCCCTTCTGACTCACTCTGTTTCTATGTTTCTATTTTCTATAAGGGGAGTAGAAGTGTTTGGATAGAGGAAAGTTTCAAGAAGTAAGCCCCAGTTGGTGGCCTGGCATGATATTGGCCAGAAACTGGTTTTGAATTTTATCTTGGAAGGAGTGGAGAGGAGACTCATTCAAGACAGAGTGAAGCTTTCAGTGGGACAGTGTGTTTGTGTTTGTGCATAGCAGGGATGTGCAATGCTTGTCACCTGACATGTTTTTGAACCCCAACTCTCACCAGCCCATGTTTGATTGGTCCTCTTAAGTGCTAGTGAAGGATGGATCATCACAAGTTTCTAAGCCCTGTTGGGCATGGATGTACCATGTCCGGCCTTATTTGACTGAAAGCAAATGGTGTTTTGGGGTTCTTTTTCTTCTTTTGCTCCTCATTTGATCTGGATTTGAGATTTTATTAGCAGGTTTCTTAATAGAAACTGCTAATTAGATTCCTTCCTATAGATCAAACTTCCATGTGTTTTGTATTCTTAATAAAAAGATTGGGATGGTTAAGCCTTTGCTATGCTTCAGTGGAGCGTGAATGGTTAAATCACAGGGGTATTAACATTGTATGCATTTAATACTTAGGGCTGTTTGTTTCTCTCGAGCCGCTTTGAGCACAATGCATCTGCAGGACAATGGTGGAGACAAGCAACTGGCAGTGGCCATGAGCCATAATGAAAAGATCCTCCCATACCATTCCTCAGGAGTGAAGATGTTCAAAGGTTTCTAATCTCAAATATGGCACCTGATGTAAATACTGCATACACAGTACTGCCTTGTGCCTGGTCTGATTCAGGGCTGTGAAGACAGGTAAGGTTGATACCAGTGGCAATATATAACCCGGGATGTAGGGATGCTGTAGCATCTATTCTGCCTCACCTCTGTGAGCTTTTGGCTCAGATTAAACTATTGCCCCAAGGACTAACTTCTTTAATCCTTCGGGACTCTTTTCATTTGTTCTGGCTACCTGTAGTCTATCAAAAATTCACCACAGACTCTTTTAGGAATTGGACTGGATCAGGCAATAGCAGTGACCAAACAGAAAGTGCTAGATACTGAGCAGCAATGTGATATCAGGAGAGTACCAGATTTGTTGGCACTGGAAAATACCAAATATTTTGTTGCCAGAGCACCTTATACATCATTCTGGGAGTCTCTCACTCTTCAAAGGGCCTTCTCTCTAGCAAGATGGTGAATACTCCCCTCTGTGGTCTTGGAGGGAAGATAATGTAAGATGCCAATGGCAGAGAGGGTTTGCCCTTGTGGTGCTGAAGAAGTTGAAACAATTTAACATGTTTTACTGTAGGTTTTATCAAGAAATATGGGCCAAATTTATTTCTCATCTTCTTCGAAGGTGACCAGGCAGATCTGATGCAGAGGCTGCTGGGAAGCTACTTATAGGCACCAATGCTCAGTTAAAAGCTGGTTGTGCTAGGTTTGTTGTAGCTGCCTGCAAGATCCACAAAGATATCATATGCAATGTTTTTAAATTTTAATTAAGATTGTATCAGGTAATTTTAAACAATTTTGCATCATTTGTTTATTGTTCCTTTGTCTTCTAAAAGTTGGAATATTTCAACCTATGGTGTTATTTGTACATTCTTTATTAAGATCTAGCTGGTCACTGACTATAATAAACGGTTGCTGTTGGGATGAAGGGATGCTGTCACATCTATTCTGCCTTTGTTTCACATATTGCCAAGTTCCTATTGCTATACTGGCCACTCATGGATGGAATTGGATTTTGCACAAATGTATCCATACATACTTGTGCAAATTCAGGGCCGGGTCAATTCACCCTTCTGAAAATACACAAATCCCCCTAAAATGAGTGAATTCCTGAAAAACGAAACGACACGAAGCGAAGCAAAGTGAAGCAAGCGAAACGAAACAAGACAAAGCAAGATGAAATGAAGCAAGACAAAACAAGACAGGTTTTCATGCTTTCATCTGTGGGGAAAATGTACATTTTGGGGTGGGTTTGGGTGGGTTGGTATTTTTTTATTCCTAAATTTGCATAAAATAACAAAATGAATCAAAACCCTAGTCTGAAGATTCACAGCATCTTCATGGCCCAGGAAAAGCAAGTCCATTGTTGAATTTGCAGGCTGGATACTTAGAAATTTGAACTCATTTGAGTTTGGAGACTTCTCTGACTTACCTCTACATTATATATTCAACACATTGCACTGTGTCTGTGTGAACAGGATACTGTGCATGAGATAGCATCTCATCAAACAGTCTCAAACTACAGCCTGCATTTCTCCATGATTGTTGAGTTGTGCACGTGTGTTAGGAATGGCGTGGAAATATTTTCCACACATGTTTAATGTGAACTAACTTAATTTTCACTTGGTGAAGCAAAGCTCAGGAATCCATTCCTTCCTGAATTTTGCAAAGGAATTCTCTAATTTTAAAAAATGGGTTCAAACATGCCTATATTCAGGGAAATAATGGTTAGAAACGTGATCTTTTAAGAAAAAACTACCTGCAATAAAATTGAACGATAGGCAAAATGCATACAGAAATACATGTACTGAGAAAAATGTGCATAAATACACTTACGCATTTTTCTGTAACATTTGGTTCGTGCAATCCCAAAGCCCAAACTAAAATGAGTGCTGAAAACATTCTCAGGTTTGAGAATTTAAATGGAGAAAGTGAGTGCAATAATTGACTATCTGTTGGTATTTTTCTATTACTAAATTTGCATAAAATGAATCAAAACCCTAGTCTGAGAATGGAGCCTTCAACGGAGCAAATCTCAGGAAGCCAAGGTTCCATTTGGATGCCAGGAAGCACTTCCTGACAGTTAGGACTCCGAGGGTGTGGAATGGGCTTCCACGGGAGGTGGTTGAGCCCCTTCGGTGCGGGTGTTCAAGGATAGGCTGGACGTGCACATGATGGGCATGTCATGAGCAGAGTCGGCTGGTGCCAGAGGTCAGACTAGATGGCCTGGGAGACCCCTTCTGACTCACTCTGTTTCTATGTTTCTATGTGGCAATTCAGCAGCAGCATATGTAAAACAGCCTTTAGTGTCTTCATTCAAGTATTAAGTGGAAAAACGGGAAGAGAAAATATGCATAGGACTTGATGGAGTACTTTGAGCCACCATTCCCTCACTGGAAGATAATTCCATGGAGAAGGAACGGGAGATACAGGAATAACCCACCAGCAGCAATGCCCAAGATTTGCCAGTAGACCCAACTGGAGCCAGTTAGTGCCCTCTGAGGAGACTGCCATGAGGACAGCAAGGAACCTGGCTCAGAAGCGGAGGCAGGGAAACCTCCAAACCTTCAGGAGGGATGTCACCTGAAAAATCAGGAGGTTGGGAAGGTTAACTTTGGAATCCTCTCCCCAAGCAGATTTGCCAGGCACCGTCTTTATACTCTTTTCAGTGCCCGGTGAAGACCTTCTTTTTTTTTTTTTATTTTTTTATGCCACTAGACCTTTGTTTTGTATTTTTGTTTGTATTTTATTAGAATTGTATTTTTTAATGGTTGCAATTGATTTTATTGTGGTTTTTATCTTGTGGTTTTTATCTTGTGATTGTGAGCCACCCAGAAGTGCTGTGGCAGAGCGGGTGGCATAAAAATGTTTTAAGCAAACAAACAAACAGACTGACTCGAGCCTGATACTTCCTTTTGAGAAAACACCTATTCACCCTCCGGAGACTCTCCGAAGACCTTTTGCAGCTGCCGGCACTCACAGCTCAGGCCTTGGTGTGGCTCTAACATCTTGCACACGAAAACAGCTGGGGATGCATGAGAGAGTTACTGGACGTACAGTAAATGAGACCTTCCTCATTCTAGCTCCCATGGCCTTGACCACAGACTATTTCCCTGCATACTTATGGACTGGACTCTAACTCTTCTGTCTTGGAGAGTAACTCTTCGTAACCTGCACCCCGGACAGCTGAGATCTTCCCATTTGCCTAAGCCCTCCTTGGGCCAACTGACTTGGATCCCTTGAAATATCAACTGCTATTGTCAAACTTCTGAAATATGACAGCAAGAGAAATGCTCTAGCAGAAGGTCTTGGATCAGGCACAAAGGAATTGGTACTCGAGTCATCTTCTGGTTAATTGTACAATCCTTGAATTAGTTCTTCCTAAAATTTCACCAGAAGAACATGGCAATGTGCATATTAAACTGATAAAAGGAGTAACACATGATTGTGGAAAGAAATGATAGTTCTAGTACAGATGGATGCTTAATTTTTATTGTGTTGCTGGCATGCTTGGGGAAAAGTAACAACTAATTAAATAGGTTTATACTTATATATACCATAAATGTTGGCTTGAAATACGGAACAGTCATGCTAAAATGCTTCCTTGGTGCAAGACATAACGACTTTGAATTACTTGATTACAGTGTTTAGTACTCTGAGTCTTATGCTTCTTGAGCAAATACCAAAATACTGGCACATTTTCAAAGAATTAAAAAAACAATTCAACTGAAAGATGTTCCGTTATGCATGAAAGATACACGGGGTATCCTCAAGAAAGCGGCCAATTCCAAGGGCTGGAGGGCTGAAGTTGAATAGCCATTGGGCAGTCACAAAAATTCATTTCCTAAGGTTTTCTTAGGTGTATCGAAAGCATGAAAAGTTATTTAGGGTTGGTTTTGACGTTTGCAATGGAAGTCACAGGGACTGAATGATGAATCGCCACCAAGAATGTACAACATTTATTTATTCATTATTTATTTATCAAAACATTTAATTTAAGCGTGTTCTTCTTAGGATTCCTGAACTGAAACCGCTGGGAATTGAGGAGGGAGGTTCTTCTGCCGACTGGGCTGCAGATGTTATTGGGAGCAGGAGAAGGAAGGAAGGAAGGAAGGAAGGAAGGAAGGAAGGAAGGAAGGAAGGAAAGGATGTTGCAGGGGGATTCTCTTCTTCTCATCAGTGCATTTTTTCTCATTTCAGAAGCTGTTTCTTCAGGAGATGGGCCGGAATTTGTCACATCTTCACTTGGCAGATCCCAGGAGTTCCAATGGATGTGCACACTGGTGGGCAGTACTTTTGCACTGGAGGGCAATAAGTTTGCACTGGAGGGCAGCACTTCACTGGAGGACAGTAACTTTGCACTGGAGGGCAGCATTTCTTCACTGGAGGACAATAGGTTTGCACTGGAGGGCAGCATTTCTTCACTGGAGGACAATAGGTTTGCACTGGAGGGCAGCATTTCTTCACTGGAGGACAATAAGTTTGCACTGGAGGGCAGCATTTCTTCACTGGAGGACAATAAGTTTGCACTGGAGGGCAGCATTTCTTCACTGGAGGACAGTACTTCTGCACTGGAGGACAGTACTTCTGCATTGGAGGGCAGTACTTCTGCATTGGGGGACAGTACTTCTGCACTGGAGGACAGTACTTCTGCATTGGGGGACAGTACTTCTGCATTGGGGGACAGTACTTCTGTGGAGGTGTGGCACAGCAGCCCCCCTCAAGTTGTGGGCTCATCGAGTGGCAGGATGATCCCACAGTGCCACAGGAAGGTTCAAAAGAGACAGACGGTCCCCCAGAATATCCGCCACATGGCTCGGAACATACAGATCTTCCATAATCGTAGCTCGATCCCTGAGTTTTAGAGGAATACATTTCCTGGGAGCACTGACTGGACCTGCAGAAGCAACGTTCAGAAAGTGAGTTAGCAATAGGATGCAGCTCTTCATAGAGGAAAGAAGGTTGGGTGGGTTTTGAAAAGGATACCTCAAAATCTTTCCCAAAGGTTCATGACTCAGAAACTCAGAAGGCATATTGGTTGGCTGGTTTAATACATAAATTGATTGGCTTTTGATTGGTGGGTTGGAATACAGGGAGCCTATCACACACAAACAGCTGGTTGGGGCATGTCCCTAGCTGAGGAGATGGCACAGCTCGTGAAGAACTTATAACCCTATAGTTTTGGGTGGACTCATTTAGGCCCCTGAGTCCAATCCCCTGCTCAGTGTAGGAGTCCAGTTCAAAGCATCTCTCACTGACAGCTGCCCAGTCATTTGCTATAGACCTTTGGAGATGGAAGCCCACTTCCTCCACAAGCATTTGGGAACAAACCGGTTTCAAACCAGCTGTTCCTTTTCAGGTGCAGTCAACATCAGTTCAAGGTAACTGGTGAAAGAATAGCCAGCGAATGTCATAGCTGAGTGGAGATGTGGACTCGGCTCTCCTTGCTTCTAATCTAGCCCTCTATCTACACCAATCCTCTCCAGGTGGAGCTCTTTTGATGCTTAGAAGAACGATGGCTCAGTACCAGCCAACATGGTCAAAAGTAGGAAGTTTTGGGAGCTGTAGTACAGAACATAAGGAGGGCACCAGCTTACTCTGTTCCATATGGTTCTGTCCAGAAATGGCTCACTGATGCCCAGAATTGAATCTAACAAGAGGGATAAACCAAAGTCTGCTAGACTCCACCTTTCCTTTTTGATTCAGTCTCTCCACTCTTCATGGATCAGTTTCTCTCTGGACTTCACTCCTATTCTGTCAACTTGACCCCTGATCTGCCAGGTCTACCCCTAATCCATCAGGATCTGATCTTCATATTAAAACGCCACTCTTCAAATAAAGGTAAAGCCATTTTCTTGTTTGGATCTCTCAGCCTTCACCCTTTCCATATGAAACGGCAGGAGGGCATATGGAAGGCCAGGTTGGATCTGACTAAGTGCCATCTAATCTGGCATCCACCAGGGAACCTCTGCAGCCTTTTAGAACATATGAAGTGAGGTATGACATTAACAAATTGCAGAGCATTCCTATATGACATGTTAATGATCCATGATTATATGGTAGCTCAGTGCTATTAGATGAAGGAAGGGAGGGAGGGAGGGAGGGAGGGAACGTACTCAGCAAGTGCCTTCAAGGAATACCTTCTAACAAATGTGTCCATTTGACTGGAGCAAATGAGCCACTACAGGAAAGGAGGCGTTTCCTAACTCAGCTAGGTCTGATTAGCTAGCTCCTAATTCAGCTAGGTCAGTATCATCAGCTGCTGGAACACACCATGTGAAAGTTCTGGATGTATCTGAGCCAGAGGAAAACTACCCTTCCTTGACCACAAGAATCAATCTACACATCTGGAAACTGCACACTATACAAGGAGCCTGTATAATCTTTCTGGTGAGGCCGTAGTGTTTCAGAATTGAATTCCCACTCTTCCCTGCAGGGAGATCTTTGAAACACTGGTAGAACATCCAGTCACTTTTTATTTATTTATTATTTATTAAGACATTTTTATGCCGCCCCATTCGCCAAAGCCTCTTTCCCATCCTGACTTTGGAAATGGTAGAGTCTCCAAGAACCATGGCCAGATTAATTTTTGGAATTTATCATTAGCATGGAATTTATCATAAATTTATCCATCTGACTAATACCCCGGAATTTCTTTAGGTCTGCTAAAGCAGGTGGAGGAAAACAACTCAATAGTTTATTAAACAAAGGCACAAACTTTAAGAGAAACCCTGAAATTTATCTCAGTCTAAATATTGAAATACAAGGTCAAAGATCATTTGTTTATGCCAACTGCTTATCCAACACCATCCAAGGAACACCATGCTTGACTAAGTTTTGAAGAACCTAGTTATTGCCTTTGTTCAAATCCCAAATTCTGAACCAAATCCCGAAAGGAAACTCAGCTTCCTTAAATTTAATGGGGCTTTTTAAATGGGATTCAGGCTGCAAATAACTCACATTGTAAGCCTTCTTGAGACCTGCTGGTATAGGTGGGCTAAAAATGTTTTAAATAATAAATAATAAATAAATAAGTTTGCCTATTTTAGAGACTTCCAAGCAGGACTCCCAAACCATGGGCTTTGCTGTTCTGGATTCATAAATTCTTTAAACCTTCTATGGATGGGTGAGAATTTAATTTCAGTTTGGTTTTGAGAAGAATGATAGAATCATAGAATAGCAGAATTGGAAGGGGGCAGAAGGCCATTGGGTCCAACCCTGTGCTCTACCATTCCTCTCAGATTGAACGTCATTTGCAAAGCTCTCCATATTTAGGAGAAAAAAACCTTGATGCTTTTTAAAAAACTGAATTTGGAAGAAAGTGAAACTGAACAAGTTATCCATTCATCCAAACGCTCATCCCTTTTCAAACCACAAGTCTCCTAAACCACAAATTCCCATAATGGCCTTTCTGGTTGTGTCAAGGCTGATGGCAGTGTGGTCATACCTGCCCAGCTGCCCTTCCCCCTTAAAAGGGTTTAGCCCACCGCTCCAGGCACCCCCAGCTATCTCAGTTTACCTGCCCCTTAAGCATCACAGATACTGTGTGGTGTCACTCTAGTGGCAGCACCATAGGAGATAAAATGGCAGGTGGGCCCAGCAATCTGGTACTTCCTCGAGCGATCATCTAACCATCTTCTGATGCCATGAACCCATCGAGAGAGATGGTCCATCGGAGTGCACACTGAGCACAGCCCCCTCAACTGTAGGACATGCCCTGCTACAAAACCGTCAAGCGGGATCCCCAAAACCTTCATTTGTCCTGCCCCCACTTCCGCCAGCCTTCCTACTATTACCCACAGACAATGAAGTTGACTTACCAAGTGTTCTGCTGTTACAGAGAGGAGTTCTTCAGGTTCAGCTAGTGAGGACTAGTAAGACGGTAGCCCTTTATAGCATCTTCAGGTGGCCCTTGTGACTGAATGCCTCACTTACTGATGTTCCAGACTCGTGTCGAGAAAAGCAAAACACAAGCCCAGCAACGGGCTCCATCTCCTCCTTGATGTGTCACCAGCATTTTGCTCATATGCCTTCCCAGGACATTTGCATATCCAAAGCGATTATTCAACAGGTGGCAATCAGGGCATCCACACACATGCCCATGAAATTCCCAATGAGGAAGGAGAAAAGGGGTGATGTAAGAGTTGTGTCGGCACATGCAGAGTACCAGCCTGACAGACATGTCATTCTGTAAGCAGAAAAAGGTCCATTGGACCTCAGCCTTGTGTACAGTCATGAAAGAAATATGAGCTGGACAGGTGAGGATCACTGGAACAGGTGGTGGAGACTCATCTAATGGTCTTACTAATGCACATGATCACTTTTTCGTCAAGGATGGCACATGTCAATCTGCCGTTGGTACGCCACACAAATGTTCTGCAACAGCATTGACTATCTTGCATAACCCTAGGAGTGACTGTTTATGGCAAACCCGGTGGGCATATTTGGAAGTGGGAGAGGATGCTATGGGCAAGCTTGAAAACGGCCACTCAGATGGGAGTCCTGGTCCAATGGGGTCATGTTAAAAACTTGTTTCCTGGAAGACAAAGTGGTGGGACAGAAAGGAAAGTGGCTTGCTCAAGCCCTCAAGGACAGGGAAAAGGTTTGACTCTGAGCTTGCTTTAAACCAAAGAAAAACAGTGCTTGAGGGAAACACTTTGCTCTGCAGCTTGACAACTGCTATTGCCACCACTTATCTCATGGCAATGATGAAGAAAGCAAGAAATTTCGGTGTGACTTATTTGGGGATATGTATTAAGGACTGGGCTTTTTATCATGTGCGCTTTCTCAGAGGAAGGGGAATTCTGCATCGTGGAGTCTTCTTGAATCATTTGTGAACTGGACAAAGGTTTCAATACTGAGGAAGAGCTTTGTGCTGAGGTTTTGTTTTTCAAAGGAGAGACTTTTATGTCTTTGAAGGGAAGAATGAGGAATTAGCCAAGACTGGAGAAGGAAAATGAGAGCTTGGAGGTGTGTTTTTGAACAGTGGCTTATTGTCTGACATAGGATGTAGTCAAGCTTAATAACAGAGTGCTTTCTTATGTGAAGTCTAGGATCTTCCTTTTTCCCATGAGAGAAAACAGAAGAAGCAAAAAACCAGAAGTGCTTTCTCAGGAGTTTGAATGCACGGTTTGCTTGAATACCTTAGCAAGTAAAAGCTTTCCTGCAGCTGCCTTTTGTCAGACAGAGATGCGTCTACATTCTTTGTTTTGGTTTCCACTGTTGAACCTCCACATCTCTTTGGAAAGCCTACAGACAATGAGGGCCCCTTGTCTGCCTCCAGGGGAAAAGGTATAATTGCCTCTGAACTTAGGGGTTTTATTTAGCTAAGACGTCTGTGGAGATTCCTACTTTCTTCCTCATGTGGTGGTGGAACACTTGGAAAAGTGGTTCTCTTTAAACTCAACAGACTTTTGACACATTCTCATCCCAACAGGCAAAAATGGGCCAAGCTTCTGTGGAATGGCTTGTAACATGTCTGTGGAGCTGAGAACTGTGCATCTCTAGTATATATGGGAGTGGGGATGAGTGCCAGAAGACACCACTGACATAGGAAATCCAGGTTCTAGTCCCCACTTGGCCATGAAGTTCATGGCCAATATTTGATGCTCAGCCTCCCCTCTCTCCCAGCAGAGATGTAAGCTAGGTTTGTTCCTTGCAGAAGGAAGAAGGTGAGGTATAAGGATTTGTCAGTCCTTTCAGACATCTTGGCCACATGGGAGTATGACCAGCATTAATAGATCTTTTGAATGTAGGAGTGATCAAAACATGCCATGCTTCTGAAGTTTTATTGATAATTTCAATTTGAAGTGCAGGTGTTAACATTTAAAGCACGAAATAGCTTGGGCCAGGAAATCTGTATAACACCATATAGT